AATTGCTTTATCTCACATTCATAACGGGACAACGACTATTTTGTCTACCCTATAAATATATGTTATTAGAAGCGAGAGATAAATACTTCTATCACTATGTCACGACCCATTTCCACGGGCCGGACTGACACTAAGACCTGGGTGGGCTTAAGGCTCCCGAAGCCCGTAGTAAGCCTAACTTATTTAAATCTCACATTTTACTCATAATTATGGATTCAGGCCCATTAACTTATTTCACATATGTTTCCAAAATACAGTTCATATATTTAAAGATGAACTTTTATTATTTATTTACAACCCAATTGGGATACAATTGCGGAACTCTACCTTTACATTTACACCGATATCTCTATCATTAACAGTCTTCTATAATAAGTGTTCAACTCCATAGGGCTTTCCTTTCATTCTATTACCTGGAAAAAAATAGGTAGGTAGGGGTGAGCGCCAAACTCAATGAGTAGGGTTAACATTTAAAACCGATCTCTATCATTAAACATCTTCTATTAATAAGTGTTCAACTCCATAGCGCTTTCCTTTGCATTCTAATTACCTTGAAAAAAATAGGTAGGTAGGTGAGCGCCAAAACTCCATTGAGTATGGGTTAGAATAACCCTCTCACCCCACGACAAGACACACAAATGCTAAAATATAATAAATAATACACACCACATACAGGCAAGCAAAATGCACCCTAGTATACTGAATGAACACACAACAGTCACTCATATGCCATCATATCAGCACCCACAACCAATATCACCTTCAAATAATCACATCACGTGGAAATTAGTCAGTGGCGTCACCTAAACCCCCGACGAGCTGTCCTCTCAAACAACCCATCCTCTCACACATGTGCACCCGAGGAGCCAATCCTCCATATCTGGCCGACCGGTCTAATCCTCACTTGACCAGTCCTCTCAATATTTTATTTTATGTTCCCTCTTTTTTTTTTTTTTTTTTTCCATATCATCCATAATCATGATCCATCAAGTTTGCACACGAGGACCCAGATTTACCATTTAAACCCCCGCCGACACGGTCTCAAATTTCACAATTTATTCATCAATAATCAATCCCATACCTTTAAAACCTCGACCATCCTCAACAAAACCATCGTGACCCCCATTTTTTCATCCTATTCCAACACAAACAAGACACTATGGTAATATCACTATTCAGCCAAGTAAATCAGGAAAATTTTTTTTTATATCAACCAACAGTGCAAGCACAATATGGTAATGATCAACAAAAATAATGCATGAATAACAGTTAACAATTCAACAAAATAATGCATGATAACAGTTAACCGTGAATGCATGAATGCAGGCGGATGAGGCGAATTATCTAACACTACTCACAGTTCTTTATTGTCCTCGAAAGGGACTGCCTGTCTAGCCACATGCTTCCAACCTTTGTCCTTACATTTCGAAATTTTATAAACCTCTAAAATAAATAAGAAAATTCTAAATAAAAATTTTAATTTAAAAACTTATATTTCACATTCTTTTGTTAGTTTTAGTTACCGGTCATTTAATTCAGTTATTATATGTGCATATATATTGGGTTTTCCTCATTTATATATTTATTTCAAATTTATTACTTTTATATAAAACATTTGGTTATTCATTAAGAAACGTGCTTATAAATACTGGTATTCATAATAATAATAATAATAATAATAATAATAATAATAATAATAGTAATAGTACGAGTGACAATATAATTTTAATAATGATAATAATTTTAATCATACTATCTTTTAAGAGTTTCCTTACTTAAGCGTTTTACCGAAATTTCGACAGCATTTCCCTTATGATCTGTACTAATCAATTTTATATTTTTCACATGTCAATACACAATCCATCCATCGAACAGTTCACATTAACCTATCCCGTCCACCATAACCATCACTTAATTAGTCATCCATTATACATAGGCACTTGATAATCCTATCACCAATTAATTTTTAATTTCCCTAATATCATTAATTATTTATCTATACCATACATTATAATTTCTCCTATTTATGCTTCTTAAATCCCGAAAATTAACCTATATAATTGTTAGCAAAAATTCTTATTTCAATGTCAATATTATAACTAATATTCATGAACTACATTTCATATTATTCAATTTAATTCACTTAAACACTCGATTAATTCCTTAATTAAATAATTCGAGATTTATTCAAAATTTGCAATTTAATTTCATAAATCTCCAATTTTAATAATTCAATTAATCTTATGTCCAATTAATTGATTAATTCAAGTTGTAAATTTTATACCGAAAAATGGACAACTAAGCCTTAAATGTACTGATGGAAAATCAGATTTGATTTCCGTGACCCGCGCGAAGAGGAGATTATTCTGACTCTCGGGGTCCTCGCCGGACCACCGCCGTCGCCTCCGTGCACGGTGGCCGGAAAAGTTAAACCGCCCAGAAAATTGTAAGGTCACCACCACCCAACTCCAATTTTCGTGAGGAATCCAAATCTGCCATCAATTTATTGAGCCAGTGGCTCGTTTGGCCGGATCGACCTCCACAGCCACCTTCAAGACGCCGTCCATGGTGGTTCATCAAAACTAAAGCAAAATCACAAATTGATGGAGGGGAAATGTTCATGTGGAGGAGAGGAGTCGATCGAGACCATCTCCAGCACCTGAAGTCGACGAATCGGTGAGCTTTTCGCCGGAAAAACGCCATCGCATGGTGATGCGGCCTGCCAGTCGCGATCTCTCTCGCTGCAGGCTCTCATCGCTCAAACCAAGGCCACCGGAGTGATTGTCTCGTTGAGCTCTTGCGATTAGAGTCCTTGCTTGCCTGAGACGATGGCCGTTTAGCCGGCAAACGGGAAAGAGAGGAGGGAGAGCTGTCGCGCGCTGGAGAAGAAGGAGGAGAAGAAGAAAGAAAAGAAAGAAAAAGAAAGGAAAAGAAAAGAAAAGAAATGGGCCGGTCCGGTTCGATTCGAACCAGTTCGGTCCGATTCAGTGATTTGGTCTCATTTCGTTTGGTTTTCGAGTTTTCCAATTGATTTTTGGATCCTTTGCGTGGTTCTCGACAAATTAAACTGATTTTTAGGTCCAGTTTGATTTATTTTGATTGTTTAGTTCAGTTTCGTAATATTTTCTCAATTTATTCAATAATCATAAAATATTAATAGCAAATATATTTAATTTTAGGTTGATTAATTTATATAGTTGTTACGTATATATAAACACATTTATAATCAATTAGCAATTAGTGTTCCATTTTATTTTCATCGAAATTTTAAGTATTACCCAAACAAAAATTCCGAATAATATGTTTTTGGGCTTGGGCCCAATTCGTAAAACTTTAGGCTCAATTAAAATTACTCAGTCTTAACAGCCCATACTATCATAAATCCGGATTTTTGATTTAATGAAAATTCCAAAATTTTGAAAATAAAAATTCGGGATATTTCACACTATATTTTACTTCTCTTCTCATCCATTTTTTACTTTTATCGGTATGATAGTCAAAAAAAAATTTAATCAAAAGCTAAACGTTTGACTGTTTAACGTCCCATAAAAAATTTTCTAAACCTCTACAAAATTTATTATAAAATCTATGTTAACAAACGCTACAATTTAGAAAACTTTATAAATTTCAAAAAAGCTATGATAAAATGTATGTTACTAAACACTACAATTCATAGAGATAAAATTTCGAAATGGTCAAAATACTTAAAACGAGCTTAAAAGTTGCTGCGGAATAGGCCTTAGAGTATTATGCTTCAAATTCTCTTCCAAATGCCTTAAATCAATAGCTCGACATGGTGCTGATAAGAAAGTCGAAGACATAAGCTTCAAAATATGAAGAGCTACTTGAGTCTTTCTTAAAGAAATTAACCCTAACGAGGTCACATCTCGATTATCTGCTTTGCGCGTGGCCAGTAACTGTATTAACAAGAAAGTGAACCTCAGAACAGTAAGAACCATTGCAATTTCAGCTCCTGTGAATCCATAATCCAAACTTGGATTCCTTCCACTGGAAAGATTTGAAGGCATCCCATTATTGTAAAAATCGTTACGATCAGTAAATTAAGCGAACATTAATTTCCCAATTGAGGCAACAGCATATGCATTATCCATAGAGGCACCAATGGTGTGCCTTGAAAATTTCCACCATGTAAAGCCTTCGTTCTTTAAAAATCAATTAAAGGATTATCATTAACAGAAAATTGCTCTTTCAATTGATTTAGTAGGAACTATTTATAAGAGCAATATGAAAATTTGTTTTAATTAAACAGAATCTGTCAACTCTTGGGACAAATTTAGTGTGAAAATTTATTGAAGAGAAACTTGAATCTGTCAACTCCATAAATGGATTAGATTAGTAAAAAGAAAAAAAGAAAAAAGAAAAAAAAAAAGCCTAGGATTAAGCAAGATTACAAATTATTCAAATATTAATTGGACAGTAAGCGGGTTGATCTCCATAAAAATTATGCTCTATAACTCGAGGGAGATTAACGTATCTTGAGATATATACTAAAAATTTTAAATGATTTGTAATTGCAATGTTGGAAAACCAAACGCTGAAAATTAAGAATATTTCAATATTACAGTTATCATTTTGAACCATGATTGAGAGCCCAAACAACAGAAGCTGATTTCCAGCTGTTCATCTAAGCTTTAGGTTGTGTTTGGTAATACATTTTTAGTAACATAATATTTGAATTAACTTTTAGATGTTAGGTAATGTTTTACAAAAAGTTAACATTTACCTTTTAGCATTTCATGGAAAGTTACTCGAACATGTGACAGTTAAACGCTACAGAATAGTTAATTTTGCTTGACAGACCCTTAATATACTCACTCTACTGTTCAAATGTAACTGAAAGAAAAAACAAAGGGCACTAGGCACTTAATTAGATTAAAATGTGATTAGTTATTCTTAAAATTAGATCATAAATAAAAATATTTTCTTTTTTTCATTCTTTTGATCATAATTTTAAATGTTTTCAATCAAAAACACGACTATAATAGACAATAATTAGGGACTTTATTTAATAATTTCCTAAAGAGCTAGTTACACAAACAACTTTGACAATTACTTGAACAAAAATTTTTTAAAAAAAGGAAAAGGAAAAGGAAAAGGAAATATTGTCACATTCAAGACCATAATAATACCTTAGCAAACCTTTCTTCAATCTAGTCCCCAACATATATAACTATTCTAACAACCTTCTTCAACCTCATCCACAGAGGTTATTACATCCACAAAAGCTTTGACGTTCTTGTCCGTTGAACCACCTTCATTAATAGCTTCTCTTGCTAAATCCTTCCATTTTTTAGCACTTTTTCTCATTTCTTTCCCTCCATCTCCATCTCCCATAACCAATTCCAAACACCTCCTAATTTCCTTAGCTTCAACAATCCCTTCTTCGTTGACCACCACCCTAACACCTACCTTCCACAAATCTTGGACCAATTTAGCATTTGTCATTTGATCAGTCCATTGTGGAAAACCCACCATTGGCACTCCACAAGTTAAGCTCTCAAATGTTGAGTTCCAGCCACAATGTGTAATAAAACAACCTATTGCTGGGTTAGACAAAACCTCCACTTGATTACACCAAGGCACTGTCAGTCCTCCTTTATTCAACTTTTCTTTAACAATGGCATTCTCTCTTATAACCCATAAGAATGGAGACCCAATTTTTTCAAGAGCTATTGCCATTTCCTCAATTTGTTGCTCTGACATGACACTAATGCTTCCAAAAGATATATAGATAACTGAACGTTGAGGCTTCGAGTTAAGCCATTCAATATAACCGTTTGATTCTTGAAACAGACTGCCGCCAAATGAACCAGATCGCAGTAGAGGACCAACACCAACCAATTTATACTTATCAATTGATTTTAAAACCTCAACTTCTAATGCATCGAATGTGTTAACGAGAATTGCTGATTTTGGATTGTGTTTAATTTCTTCATCAAGGATTTCTAGATGCTCTTTTACCACTGGAAGCACAAACGCATATTCGTTCGATTTTGCTGGGCTGAAAAAGGAAGGTAGGTCATAGACACTAAGCACTGGCAAATTTGGTAAATTGAGCAAAAGTGTAGCACTATTAATTGTTTTCTCTATTATTTCACCATAGCCATTGAAATAATGGTAGTAGATACTGAAAACCGTGGCAGGTTGACTCCAGAGAAGTGCCGATGGGAGGTGAAATTCACGCGCCACCTTAGCTACCCATGGAATGAGAATAGAGTATACTACAAAAGTAAATGGGTGGCCATCATTAGAAGCTTGCTGTATTAGACGACGTAGAGTTTGTGATCCATGAAGTCTGAGATCATGCGTCATGTAGTTTCCAATGTTTACGATGGGTTTGAAACCGTCGTCGTTTCCATCAGAGAGGGCAGCAAAAGACAAGTTGTCAGGAATTCCGGTTTTGGCCATGCGGCGGTCAGCACCAATGGTAGTGGCGAAGGTGACTTTGAGACCCATTGTAGCTAGGCGTTGGGCGAATTGGAGAGATGGGTTTATGTGGCCTTGAGCGGGAAATGATGCTACGAGGACGTGAGGATTTTTCATTGTGGCAGCAGAACAGCGCTAGATGTTTCGTGAGCTAAAGAAAAACAAAATGACTTTGTTTTTTATTGCCTATTACAAGTTAGTGGAGAACGCATTTGAATTGAATGGTTGTAGTTTTATACACGGAAGTGGGTAAGGTACTGCTCTTTGTTGTTCAATATGATTGATGTATTTATTGTGTTTCCGTGGTTATAAATGAGTTTAGGAAAAAGACAAATAATACAATTATTATTAATAATTAGTTTAGATGAATTAAGTTTAAGTCTCTGGTCACTCGTTGCTTCTTACTTCTTATGTGAAATGGATTCGATTGCAGATATGATTCAAGTGGTATCTGAGTTTAATAAATATGCATTTGATCTGAGGTGTAAATTCCATTAATGTACAAGAATATTGAAAATATTTTATTTGATTAGTAAACACGATTATTCATAGCATTGTGAACTGATTGTCGAGGAGAAAGTTTTTTAGATTGTTTCTAAAAGTCTATTCGATAAAATTAATTATTTTAGTAATTATTAGCTGTTTTAGTAGCGTTTAGCTGTTAGCTGTTTTAGTAGCTTCTCATAAAATACTAAAAGCTAAATGTTACATAGATTAATTTTTTACAAAACGCTATCTTAACTTTTAAAAACTAGTTCAAACACTATATTACCGAACACTATAAAAAATAATGTTCAGAGTTAAAGCTACTTAAAAGCTATTGTCGAACACGGCGTAAATTTTATTATAAAGAACATATTCTAATTGTGAATAGTAAAATCTTAAACGAGGTCATACGTGTGTAATTCAAAAAATATGGACATCTAACCACCAACTACTCATATACATAACGCTTCATTTTGAAGATTTATCTTACTTTGATTTTTATTGGATATTTGTGTTTTATTTCTTTAGTTTTTTCTATCCAGTCCTTGAGATGCGGAAAGTGCAATGAAGAGCATCTCTAATGCTATTATAGACCGTGACTTTGTAGCATATTGAATAGAAATCGTAAATGATAGTATGGTTGTGAATCCACCGATAATTAATAAATTAAAAAAAAATATGAATTTATAAGATCATAATAAGTTTGTCAAAATTCAAAAAATATTTTATACTCTTAAAAGTAGGAAGTAATTTTTCTTAAAAATGACTTACTTTTTCTTTGACCAGAAAAATATTTTTCATTAACTTATTTTCCTGAATCCTCCAAACAACAGAAAATTGTAAAAAATATTTTCAAGCAAGTTATTTTACAGAAACAAATGGAACATTAATGATTAATCATTCTCCTGTAGTTGCATTCTTAATTAATAATTGTTCATGCGTCATTTTCAAAAAAATAAAAAACATTGTTCACGCATCCGGTTTGATTGAAATTGTATCCAACTGTTTCTGACTCAATAAATTAATTTTTTTTGATAAAAAATCGAATAAAATTAAGTAGTGTACATAATTGAATCAAATCAAACTAAATCCGCTATAATTGAAATGAGATTTATTTTGGGATTATTTTTTGGTGTAATAAAAATCTATTGAACCAAATCGATAAATTTTTTATTCTTTTTCTTGAAAATCAAAATCAAAGCATTAAAAAAAAAAAGAAAAAAAGAAAATTTCAAGGGTTTGGTAATGTCACGACCCGATTCCACGGGCCGGACCGGCACTAGGGCCCAGGTAAGCTTAAGGCTCCCGAGGCCCGTAGTCAGCCTGGAACACTAGAATCTATTATCTCGATATAAATTTCAACATTCAGCCCATGTGATTATGAAAAATAAACCTCAATATTTTATTATAAAAAAGAAAAATTTCAAAGGGTTTGGAATGTCACGAACCCGATTCCACGGGCCGGACCGGCACTAGGGCCCCAGGTTAAGCTTAAGGCTCCCGAGGCCCGTAGTCAGGCCTGAAACACTAGAATCTATCTATCTCGATATAAATTTCAAACATTCAGCCCATGTGATTATGAAAAATAACCTCAATATTTTATTATTTCATCGGTCCAAGTTTATCTCCTTACAGCCATCCACACGTTCGGGCCCAAATTTACAATAAAGCACATTTCTTAATATGGGCTTACAGGATTCAATTTTGTCTATGTTAATACACAACTAAATATATGTAAATCTTACAACTGCGGAGTCACTAACTCTTAGTATTACATAGCTTTTTATACACATAATTACATGAGCAAATAATTATGGGAACTTAGGAAAAATTTTTATTTTGGCCCTTGCGCCGAAGGAAAACATAGCTTAAATCGGATTAAGGAAACCTATTCCTGAAAAAAAATTCAAACAAGACATGTGCAGGTTTCTAAGGAGTAATAATTTTTGCACCACACACGCAGTCACCACAAATGTGTAAAATCCATTAATCTAGTCGTCCGACTAGTTATATGCTCACGGCGCAGCAGTCATACAAATGGCAAATCACCAGGCACTTTCACAATCCATTACATCTTCACTATAATCACATTCACGTGGAAATTAGTCGAGGTGGAGTCACCGAACCCCCCGGATGAGCCGTCCTCCCACATGGGCTCATCCTTCTCGATGTGCACCAGGGGAGCCGATCCCCCATACTTTGGCCGACCGGTCTAATCCTTCACTTGACCAGCCCTCTCATTTTTTTTCCATTTCTCTCTTTCTTTTCCATACCAACAGGAGGCAACCCGTCGTCTCCATCAATCATAGATCATCAGGCCTTCACAACAGGGAGGCCACCCTGCGGGCTGCGATTCAAATCTAGATTATCCGGTTGCGCCCAAATAAAGAAAGCAACCTGTTGGTTAACGGTAACGTAACGGTGGTGCACACGGGGCGCCCGAATCTCCATTTACCCGGCTAAACAGAACAGAATCAGGATCTATATAACAGGAATTCAGAATCAGGATTCCGTTATAAAAACAGAAACAGTCTCACAAAACCCATGTGACCCACTTCATCCCAATTCCACACCAAACCAAAAAGCACAAGCAATAACACAACACAATTAATCAAGGGGCGAGGCCTGAATGCATTTCAATTAGATGCAGAACATATGGATCAGCTGAAACATTTAATGCAATTGCACAATTAACATCCATTCTCAATTTGCAATTAAATAATTTAATAAATAATCTTAACAAATAAACAACACGATAAATTAATATAATACAATAATAATAATAATAGTATACATAAACAGTTGATAATGATATGGTAGTTAAAGCAACTTTATTTATATGTATCGAATTGAAAAATTATCTAAATAAACTTATTTGTTATGTGTATCATTAAAAATCAGATCTAAGTTCGCCGAAATTTCGTGGCAGCACCTCCCCTAAAATTGGACTATCTACCTGCTCAAAATAATTCACAATATTATATGTATTTATCAATCGATTACACACAGCCCCATTCGTTCGGGCAATTCAAATGCAATTCAATTCCCCCATCCTCCTTCAAAAAATACCATGTCAACATTCACTAATAATTTACAAATTTATTAATAACCTCCAAGGCATGTCCATCAATATTATTAAGTGTTTCTCTTAACGAAGTGTCAAATAAATGTTCAATTTATAAACAAACTGTGTTCCAATGAGCTAAAATTCAAAACCATCCTCGTTTAATAGCTACTACCTAGGCCTCTAAATGTTATAGAGCCTTTAAATATTATAGAACTCTTTATCAACCTTCATTTCTTCATCCTTACTTTAAGGTAACAAACACATATTTATACCTTCATCAATTTTTAAATTAGCCACTAAAAATAAATGCTTCAAGTAAACTAAAGACTAACCGACTAATTTTTAACAAGAATTAAATCTACTCCTTCAAATATGCCATATCAAGCAATAATCTATATAAATGATTGAAAATAGCTGCTGCCATTATATCAAAGAAACCTTGAGTTATTGCTTAAACTCATACATCATATGCTACTTAACCCATTTCCCACCAAGAACTTAATTTATAACTTTTGCATTATACCGCAATAATTGTTCAAGCTAATTAATTAAAAAGGCATGCTGCAATTTCAGGTTTCTCAATTCTTTCGCCATTTCATTTTATAGTTCCACTTAAATGGTACAATCAAGGTTTCTATCATAACATACCAAGAATTCAACCAACGACCAATAATACCTACAATAACGAATAATCATTTCCTTACAAAAACTCATAATAGATTCAATAATCTAACTATTTTGTATGTAAATTCAATTTATAGCTTCCATTTATATTTTTATTTATCAAAATTTCTTAGTTAATCATCATAACAGTAGCTAAGAAATTCTATTTTTATATCACTTCTGCAATACATTACTCTAAAATCCTAAGGCCGATTAACTAAGCAATGTCCGCTATCGCAATTTCACACAACACTAAATCCATCTAAATTATTTAACAAAAGTTATAATCATAACAATATTTAAGCTATTTCCATATATTAATTTCTTTATTATTCATTCAATCTAATTAATTAATAAAAAACTCAATTAAAATTCTTTAATCCAAATTAAGTTTTTCTTATAGCAAAAAAAAAAAAATTGAGAATTTAGTTTTAGAACGTACCAGTTGAGAATCGGGCGACGATTCCATGATCAGCTCGGAGAGAAGAGAATTCTGTCTCTCGGAGCCTCGCCGGAGTGTCGCCGGACTGCCGCTGTCGCCGCCATCCATGGTGGCCGGAAAATGAAAGCTGCCCAGAAACTTGCACCGATCATACTATTCGGCTCAGAATTCACCAAGGACTCCATTTTCGACCTTAGTTTGGTGAGATCGATCCTCAAATTAGCCGGATCGAGCTTGGCAGTGGTCTAATACCACGATCATCGTCGCCGCCGAAGAATTCCAGGACAAACGACTCCAACTCACCCGTGTTCAGCGCTTGTCGTCGATGGAGGAGGAGGCTGGAGTCGACCGCCGGAGAATCGAGCTAGAGACGCGACGTGATTTCCGTCCACGAGCTCGCTGGTTTTCTGCGGCTACTGGGTACGCAGGAACGGAAGAGAGACAGGGGACCGGAACCACTGCAGCGAGGAGGTGACGGCGAGGAGGCTGAGGAGGCTAGCTTGATCGGCTCCGGTGGCTGAAAATGGGGAGGGAAGGAGGAGGAGGTCGCGCTGGAG